TCTTCTTCTTCTTCTCTTCTTCTTTCTTCTTCTTCATTCTTCTTCTTCTTCTTCTTCTTCTTCCTTCTTTCTTCTTCTTCTTCTTCTTCTTCTTCTTCTTCTTCTTCTTCTTCTTCGTCTTCTTCTTCTTCCGTCCTTCTTCTTCTTCTTCTTCTTCTTCATCTTCTTCTTTCTTCTTCTTCTTATACTTCTTCTTCTTCTTCTTTCTTCTTCTTCTCTTCTTCGTTCTTCTTCTTCTTACTTCTTCTTCTTCTCTTCTTCCCTCCCCTCCTCCTCCTTCTCCTCTTCTCCGCCCCCTCCCTTCTCCTTTCCTTCTTGCTCCCTCCTCCTCCTCCTCCTCCTCCTCCTCTCCTCCTCCTCCTTCTCCTTCTCCTTCACCTCCTCCTCCTCCTATCCTTCTCCTCTTCCCCTCCTCCCTCCTCCCCTCTCCTCCTCCTCCTCCTCCTATCTCCTCCTCCTCCTCCTCCTTCTCTCCTTCCTCTCTCCTCCTTCTTCTTCGTTCTCTCTTCTTCCTTCTTTCTCCTTCTTCTTACTCCCTCCTTCTTCTTCTCCCTTCTTCTTTCTTCTTTTTCTTCTTCTCCTCCTTCTTCTTCTCCTCCTCCTCCGGCCTCTGAGGAGGAGATGCTAGTATGATCCTTCTATTATTCCTCTCTTCTCCTCCGCATGCTCCTCTCTCCTCCGCCTATCCCTCTCCTCCTCCTCCTTCCTCATACTACTCCCTCCTCATAATACTCCTCCTACTACTCCTCCTCCTCCTCCTCCTCCCCATCTACTCCTCCTCACTCCTCCTCCTCCTCTTTTTGTTTTCCTCCTCCTCCTCCTCCTCCTCTCCTCCCCTCCTCCTTCTCCTCCTTCTTCTCCTTCTTCTTCTTCTTCCTTCTTCTCCTTCTCTCCTTCATTTTCTTCTTCTTCAGTCTTCTGAGGAGGATTCTTCTTCTTCTGCTTCTTCTTCTTCGTCTTCTTCTTACTCTTCAGTCGCATTCTTCTTCTTTCTGATTCTGACTTCTTCTTCTTTCTTCTTCTTCTTTTTCCTTCTTCTTCTTCTTCTTCTTCTTCTTCTTCTTACTTCTTCTTCTCTTCTTTCTTCTTCTTCTTCCTTCTTCTTCTTTCATTCTTCTTCTTCTTACTTCCCTTCTTCCTCTTCTTCTTCTTCTTTCTTCTTCTTCTTCTTCTTCTTCTTCCTTCTTCTTCTTTCTTCTTCTTCTTCTTCTTTCTTCTCGTCTTCTTCTTCTTCTTCTTCCTTCTTCTTCTTCTTCTTCTTCTTCTTCTTCTTTCTTCTTCTTCTTCTTCCTTCTTCTTAGAAGAAATGTGTTCTTCTTCTTCTTCTTCTTCTTCTTTCTCTTCTTTCTCTTCTTCTTCTTCTTCTTCCTCTTCTTCTTCTTCATTCTCTTCTTCTTCTTTCTTCCTCTTCTTCTCTTTTCTTCTTGCTTCGTCTTCTCCTTCTTCTTCTCATCCTCCTCCTCCTTCTCCTTCTCGTTCTCCTTCTCCTCCTCCTCCTCCTCCTCCTCCCTCCTCCTCCTCCTCTCTCCTCCTCCTCCTCCTCCTTCTTCTTCTCTTCCTTCCTTCTCTTTCTCCTTCTTCTTCTTCTCCCTCTTCTCTTCTCCTCCTTTCTTCTTCTTCTTCTTCCTTCTTCTTCTTCTTCTTCCTCTTCTCCTGCTTCTTCTTCTCCTTCTCTTCTTCTTCTTCTTCTTCTTCTTCTCTTCTTCTCCTTCTTCATCCTCCTCGCTCCTCCTCCTCCTCCTCCTCCTCTCCTCCTCATCCTCCTCCCCTCTCCTCCTCCTCCTCCTCCTCCTCCTCCCCCTCCTCCCTCTCTCCTCTCCTCCTCCTCCTCCTCCTCCTCCTCCTCTCCTCCTCCTCCTCCTCTCCCGCTCTCCTGCCTCCTCCTCCTCCCTCCTCCTCCTCCTCCTCCTCCCTCCTCTCCTCCCTCCTCCTTCTTCGTCCTCCTCCTCCTATCTTCTCTCTTCTTCTCCTTCTTCTCCTTCTTCTCCTTCTTCTTCTTCTCTTTCTTCTTTCTTCTTCTCTTCTTCTTCTCTTTCTTCTTCTTCTTCTTCTTCCTTCTCTTCTTTTTCTTCTTCTTCTTTCTTTTCTCCTGCTGCCTTTGCTATCCCTGCTCTCTGCCTCCTCTTCTCCTCATTACTCCTCGCATGCCTGTTATAGGGAGCTGCCGTGGTCTAGCGGCGAGATGCACACCTGGATCAGAAGGTCATGAGTTTGGTTCCTGACGAGGACTGGATTTTGTTTTTTTATGAGCTTGGCTCCCAGGTCGACCTAGCCTTAAGTGGGTATCAGGTACAGTCTTGGGAAGTAAGGATGGGCTGCGTGATGCTGACCACATCACCCACCAAGTGCCATTTGTTCAATAAAATGTAGTTCTAGCCCTATATACCCAATATGCCTGAAAGGCGTAAAAAAGCTTTTTTTTTTTTAACATTTTTTAATGCCTGTTGTAAATACAATCACTGTTTGAATAAAATTCATGTTTAGATGATTTAGAAGACGG